GTATCGATGGAAAAGCTATATGTAATGGACCAGATTGGTCACAAGTCACCCAAAGTGAAACCATCAGAGAGATTCCAAAGAGAGACTCTTGTAGCTTTGGATCGGTCCACATTGGAACCACAAAAGGAATGTGTGTGAACACAAGAGAAATTACCGGCTGGAGCAAGCTGATAAATTAGAAGTAGTGGATCATGCACCCAGAGAAAGCACCCATGATGTTATAGTCTAATCAACAAGTTCAAAAACATGAAAAATAGAGATAAAGGTCCTAAAAATATGAGCGATAGCTCATTCGATTCGAAATCACTTTCTTTTTGGTGCAGGTAAAAAATTGCAATTGTTATTAACAAAATAGTTTTTCGTTAATAACNGAAACACGTGTTGTCTCCATGAAATACTGGACGCTCTTAGATTTATGCGAATTGGTATCGTTCCGAATTCGACAATTTTGTTTGTTCACGTACCCATTACATGGTCGTTTATATCTGGCCAAGATTTAGACAGATTCTGATTCGCAAAATGGCCATGTCAAAAAGTTCTACAAACCCTGACATTTCAAAGCTAACTACAAACCGGCCGAAGCTGCATTTAAAAATCGTTTTTACTTTTTCTTTATATTTGAACATGTTTTCCAAGTTTTTACAATATTTTCAGTGTTGAAAATAAAAACTATTTTAACAAGTAATCTGTGATGATTTGTTCTACTGAATCCTTCAGATGAAATCCTGCTATTGACATATTTTACTTTCTGTTCAGCACGCTTTGGTCATCAGGTAATTTATTTTAACCATCAGGAACGAAGGCATTCCCACTAACAATATTATCAAACCCGAGTCCCAGATTCGAATGATATAGTAGTTATGTGATGCGATAAAAACTAGAGCACTTCGTCCATCGCCTCATTGTCATTGACCACCTGTATCTATTACCATCAGGCAAACAAACCTGCGGAATACGGCAAAGAAACCTGGAAAATATTCGACACAGTCATCTCCGGTCGTGTAAGGTTTATTATTAGGTTATTATTTTGGTTCAAGTTGCCTCTAGATTATTCACAAAAGTAAGTAATCCCATAAAGAAGGTGTGTTCTACTAATTTTCGATGAGGAGGAATGGAGGAATCTGAATAAATGTATCCCTTGAGCTACCAAGACTAACCATTTCGTTACTGTATAGTAAATTATCTTATTAGTATTATATTAGGTAATGGAGATGAGAATGTTGAGATGGATTTTGTAGAAATGCATAATCAATGTTAACTAGTTATTTTTATAAGCCCAACACCAAAACAGATATTAAGAACTTGAGTATGGAATATAAAATATAAAAATATAGTTGAAACTCGATATTTTTTTAAACATTTTGAATTAATTTAAAAATTGATGATGAACAGAAGATCCTAGAAGCATTTTCAATGGAGATAAGTCGAATTTCTTATCTGTATTCGTATATTGGTGTTACTTTAGGACCGTCGAGTTTTTGAGTCTTCTGAGAATGAAAATAGGAATAAAAGTTTCAATCGTGTTTGTGAAAAAAAGGGTTTTTCATACGTTCATATTTGGGATCACCTATATATGTGATTGTTAACATGCGAAGTGATTGTATTTTAGTTAGATGACTGCTGATGTAGTGTTTCAATCAATGACTCAAATTACTGGTCCAGTGCAAGTGATTCGCTTTTGGAATAATTCAATTGTGAATTAATATATATGAATAGACACACTAGATACATTTTTGGATATTAAAAACTAATTGATACAGTTTATTGTATGATTTTCACTATAAAAGGTTTTACAAAAACTACGACACGTGTTCTCAAGCATAAACATGCTTGAGCTATTGTATAGCGAAACATGTGTCGCGGTTTTTGTAAAACCCTTTATATTGAAAATCATACAATAAACTATTAATTAGTTTTTAATATGAATTTTCATGAAGTATCGGTCAGTTTTATTCAATTTTTGTGGATATCATTAACAACTTGGGTTTTCTTGCTGAAAAATTTGTAAATTTGTCTCTGATTAACAAATTAAAAAAAAATCATATAAGACACATTTCAGTTTGAGGTTTTCATTGAAGTATCTAGAACCAGTGTATATACTGATCCTATTTCCACACATATAAAAAATATCTCCAATCTCTACAGGGAATACAGATGAAAATACCGGGGATGAAAAAATTACCCTGTTTAGTTTTGTCAAATTATTTCTTTCAGGAAGTACGGTATAATCGCTAACGGTTATTATAAATATTTTGAACTTTTTACCTGAACTTGAATTTGCAGTTCCTTTAATATTACTCTTCGACAATAGGTACAATGAAGTCAAAGATCATGCGATTATTTTTCGATATAAAAATTATTTTTGCTTCTCACATTGAAACTATAATAACTAGAAGTATAGAAGTAACCCATATGGTTTTGTCTTAAAATATCAGTTAGTATAAAGACACCTGGGGAAGCTATTGTATAGTGGAACGAGTGAGTTTCATTGCTTGATTAAATTGATATTTCAGCTTTTCTTTCTAATTTTATTCGTTCTTTCATAGATTTCAAATCATAATAGCCAATGGAAGTCCAAACTCAAAATACACCATGAAACATTGTCAACCACTTTCAAAAAAAACGGTTTTAAGGTTATTTTGTAATGCCGAAAAGTTTATGTTATGAAACTATTGGAGAGAAACCTGAATTGAAGGAGAAATAGCCCAAAATCGTTTAATTTTTCGTACAGGATATCAATAATATTTCATTAAAAGTGATATTTGAGAACTGGCAAATTTCAATTTTTCAATGGTACCTTTACATTTCTATTATTTTATTGAGATAAGAGAAATAATGATAACTTCCCCAAAGTTATGTAGGTATGTAAAAGTTGGAAGGTATTAATAGTATTGAACAGATAAGGTTTACCAGATGTCCGCACGGATAACTTCCATTGAAGTACGCAAATTCTTCTGAGGAATAGGATGAAAAAAAAGAAACATTCAAACAAAAATTATGCAGTGAGATACATGGAATACAAATTACAATTATCATATTATTTTCATGATCGGTCGCGATAATTTAATACAAAGAGGTTCTATTGAAAAATGACTTTTGCTTGTTTTTCAATATTATTTTTCAATGAGTTTTGTGAACCCATTTATGAAATATTCACAATTTTGCTCTGTTACTTCTTCAACTCAGATCGCTTTTATCCAGAAATTAAAAAACATTACAAAATATTGAGGAAGTCATTTGAATTAGGAGAAAACTGTAAATGCTATTTTTTATTTTAAATGTCAATTATTTTGGGAACTTTAAGCGTTTTCAGCAACAACTAACAATTTCTACACGGTATAATACAAAAATTACCAAAGACATTATATTATCCCAATTGAGATCTATACCCAAATTACCAATTACATTGATTGAGTTCGAACCTTTCCCTTCCAAATGCAACACTTCGTAATCGTGATCAAACTCCTCAGGCGAAGGATGATTTGAATATATTCAATTGGTCTCCTATTTCAATATTCTTTCGTCCTTTTGGAAAAAGTTCTCCCAGATTGGCCAAAATAAATTTTGGGATAAAAACTACAAGTCTGGAGACACCCTACATTTTGTTTTATAAGAGAGAAGATATTGTTAGATCAAGATCTTCAGATGATGTGGTGCTGCAGGTTTTTCCGGGTTTTCCTGCAGCTGAAAAAGCAAATGCGCCACTGGAATTAATGAAGTCGCCCTGGAGCGCCAATTAATTTTTACTGTTGTTTTTAAAAAAAGTCAACTTATATAATCCCGAATCTGATATCGAATTTTCATCTTTATTGTTTTTTATGATTTTGTTGATATAATTATCCGTTTTTGAAAAAAAGAGGGACTTCATTGGTGAGTTCAATGTCACATAAAGCTCACTTTGTTTTTAAAGTTAGATAGACCTGGCTCGAAACTTTCCGTAATATTTTAGAAAGAATATCCACCCCGAAACCATTGTTTATAGGGACTTTTTTAATTAAACTTGCCTTATAAAAATGAAGTATTCCATAGTCTGTGAAACTTATATGGATGTTTCGATGAATTGAGTATGATCATGTTTGTAGAAAATTTTGATTAATTTATGCAGTAAAATTCTTAAGGCGCTCCAAGAGCGGTGCCTGTGCGAAAGTTGCGATTCACATTGGATTTGAATCGTTCGAGATTAAATCCATTTAGAAAAACGTTCTCAGAGTTTTCAAACAGTGAAGTTCTAGATGTACTGAGTTGGACTTCAAAATGATGAGCAGCCACAGTTGGTCGCGTATTTCTGATATGTACGGCTCTTGATGGAATCAAATGTGCCAACAATTTAAATTTGTTTTGACATGGTGAGATTGGTGATTGTGTTAGATTATAATTGAGGTGATGTGGTAAATTTCTCAGGAAGAAATTGTCAGATTCAAATAATTATAATATATAAAAATAAAACACCATGAAGAATCTGTAAGTTGTATCGAACACTTTTTAAGAAGCTATTCCATAAGGAACACGTGCCGCGGTTTTGTAAACTATTAAGTAAAGATAGCACAATGAAGTGTGATTTTAATATGTCATTATTTCAGTACTTTTCACAATAATAATCGATACAGTTGGTGAAGAAGCGCCTTTTTTTGAACAACAACTTCAAGCTATTCATGTTTGAAGAAAACATGATGTTTCTCGTTACATTACATGTTTTTCAAAAAGTGTTAGTTTTGGGTAAGCTGAAAAGCAGTTTCGATTAGTCTGAGTAAGAATATAGATATACTGGTCTCAAACAGCATGTGAAATAAGTATATATGATCTCAACATCTCCGCATATTAATCATCGTAAGAAACCAAATACGTACGATGAAATAGTCAGCAGTCAGACTTTGTTTTTAAAACATTCGTCCACATTGTTATACACAAATGCAAGGTCTCAAAAAGTGCAAAATCAGCGAATCTGCTGGCCATGGGAAAAAGCGAAGTACAATTTCTTCATCGATGTTAGTCATAAAATAAACTCCTTGACAGAAAGTATAACACGCGTTTCGGTTGTTTACAATGTGGAAGTGAAGTGATGGATATAGATATAATGGATATTTTACAATCCGAAGATATAAAAGTTGAGCGTGCACCAGAAGAGGATATACCAGGTAATATTTTTTTTAGAATATTGCGCTGAAAAAAAGTGAGACCGCTTCTGATACTTTCTAATATTTACATTTTTAAAATATCTTGAAAAAGTTATTTATTTTCTTATATTCTTCTTTGGACAAAAAACACAATGTCAATGAATGAAGTGAAAGATAAATAATATACACATCCATATGTTGGATGAGAAGTTGAATTTTAAAACATATGTTGACAGTGTTTGGCACAATTTTTGATGATTCTCGACACACGTAAAACATCACACTTGAACATAATATATTGTACTCAAATGTCTTATAATATCAATTAACCTCACTCTCAATAATCAGAGTGATGTTAAGGAATTTTATCAAAAGTATCAAAATGTTTCAAATACATTGAAAAATTTTCTGCAAAGCATATGTCAGGAATACGAAGGACTGTGGGCCAACGTCACAGCTATTTTCAAAAAGTACGACAAATTGTGTTCTCTACATTAACTACCTATAAGCCTATTCACTTCTCTTTAGAAAATCGTAAAGAAATGACTGAGTTGGCGACACATACTCAAAATATACCCCACGAGCAAGATGCATTTTTTTAAAAGAAACGAATGAACTTACCTCATTGGTGAATAATTGTCTCTCGACCAGTAAACTTTGTCAAAGCTTTTGATATGATTCGTAATGGGGGATTGATATAATTGAAAACTTCTATATTCGAGGAAAGCTTTTCTGGATCACAGACAAGCAGAAGTTTTAGAGTGAAAGTAAATATCTATTTTGATCCAAAAATTGCAGTCCAAATCGTGTTCTTCATTAATGTGTTTCTACCAACCACATTAAAAGTCACAAGTCTTTCTACAGCGATAATATAAAAATCTACTCTAATACACAATCGTAGATTTTTGTTTGAACTGTGCATTGACTGGCTCTCTCCAATGAATACAGCGAATGGCATTGTTTTACATATCTGCCTCCTCTTTACATACTTCACGATAGTCACCTACAAGTAGTTTCTGCCCAAGTAGACGGCGTCACCATCATCCCTTGATCGCATCACATAATGCCAACTCACCAATACACGATCAAAATGTTCAACCTCCACTATTCACATTTCTAANAAAAAACTAATGGTGGTCCAATGATAACAAAACATTTGAATAAAAATTCAGTGAGTACTGCTAAATTTAGATGAACATAATTTGGGATGAAAAATCACCCAATTTTTTTAAATTGGTGAATAACAATAGCCATTCGGTTTTTGTCTCTTATTTCCGAAGCCTGTTTTATTATGGCCAATTTTATTTCTCGCCAGTAGGCACAGCTTCGAAGCTGTGAAAGTGTTTCTCCACTTAACTGACTTTCTACCTTTTATAGTTCAAAAGTTACTAATAATAGTAATAGTCATACTTTCCTCGGTTGCATTCATCAATATTTTCTGAGTGAAAGTTTTGGAAACGTGTGAAATTCAAACATAATAAAATATAAAAAAGTTTTCAATGCTGGGACAGTTCTAGACTATAGTTGTGTAATTAGCAAATAATGTGAACCTATCTACCATATTGATATATGTCAGATCTTTTACATAAATTAAAAAAATAATCTGACTTAGAATCGATCTCTTTGAAACCTGATGAATGTGCATTAGTTCTTACTATTCCACATCGATTATATCCATTGGTCAGAATATTTTACAGTGGTATTGCATGATCAACACAATCAAATGATTCAGTTAAGTCACAANATATTTTAAGTGTGCTATGTGTTCCTTACCTTAATAGATCTTTTTGTCTGTCCATAATATTTTGCGTCGTAAATGCCAGACTTTTCCAAATTCTCGACTTTTGGACTTCCTAAAAGGCTCTGTAGTGAATGACTTGTTTTAAAAGCCACCATCATACCTAGTTCCTTGAAAATCTTTCCAAAGTTCTTCGTGTGTTGGTGGTATGGAACTGAGATCTATTTATCTTGGTTTTTGTCCTTTTTAAAAAGGACAAAGGCAAACTGAAAAGTTCACTCTGAAAAGTTACTGCGTAATATACACCACTGAAAAGTGCAATTAGTCAGTAATTTGTCGTATTCATAAATTTTGCCTATAATTGATTCTTTCAATTTGGAAGGTTCAACTCCAGTTGGAGACAACATTTTCTGAACACTCACTAATTATAAATCAAGAGTTCACGAAGTAGGTAGGTGGTTTTTAAAACCAAGTCATACACTACAGAGCCTTTTAGGAAGTCCAAAAGACTAAGTCTAGAATTTGGAAAAGTCTTGAATTTACGAAATTAATTGTAAGGGCTGCGATGCAAAATATCAAGAACAGACAAAAAGATCTATCAAAATAAGATATAAGGAACACTTAGTTAGCATACTTAAAATATGGAAGACCTGAAAAATCAGCAGTCGCCCATTATATTCTGCAACAAAACCATTCTATAGACTTTAGTTCATTGAGATTAGTTAGACAACAGCCATCTAGATGCCTGTTGATGAATAATGATGGTGGACCAATACCTAATTATAATTAGGTATTGGTAATTAGGTAAATCTAATAATTATTAGATTTACCAGACTATTACATAAGGACACTTTGTAAAATTAATTTATTTAAGACTAGTAGATAAGGCAATATTGTAAGTATGATTAGTTTGATCTTTCTTTTGAAGATGATCACTTGGTGATCGAAACGCGTGTTGAGGTGTTAAAATAACGGTTTGGTGTTGGGAAAAAACTCCAGTAATATTCATTACTACACCAAGGGTTCCAAACACTGCATCACAAGTAGTTTCTTTCACAAACCAGTTGATACCTGACCGATAATTTAAATTTTTACAGATGGAAAAATAAAAATTACGCATACATGTTTTTTTTAGTTGTTTATTTACTCATGAATATAGGAACATGCCTAAGCCGCTTCTGTATTATTTGACTTTTTACTCTTGATTTATGATCGGTAATACTAAGGAAATAAATCATGAGTAATTCATCAGTTGACATTCGTTGTTAGGAATATCATATTCACATTAACTTACATAACAAAGTTATTTATGAAATATTATCTTCCCATGGGTAGCTTTTGCTGATTACTGTTGGGGAAGTTTACTAGGGATTTAAAGCATTCGCGAATATATCTGACAAACAAGAAGGTTACTTACTGTTTTGAAGGATGAAATGATAGCGGTTGATATAAGAACGTAGGCTTTGTATTGACTCCAAAGAAGACATTTCTCTAGATCTCTGTACTCCTTATGACTAAATGATATTTCAGAAGGACCTCTATATAATTTCATGTGATTTACCTTTCTGGTTTCTACCATTAGAAGCAAGCTAGTGGGTTTCAATATGATGAGTATAAATTATTATCACATTCATCATTGGTAATTATTTACCAGAACAATTTATATCAACCCGATGTTAAATATTTCAAAAGTAAAGGGGGGAATTATATTTTATCACCATATTTATGATCTTTCATGGCAATATTCTTTGAGACTATCAAGAAAAGGTATGATGCCTAATAATTGAAATTTGTTGTATTTCATCACGTGATAAAAGCTACAATAATACATTTTTTTTCAATTTTATTTTTTTATTATTTTGTCAATGTCATTCTAATTGTTTGAAAAATTGTTTTAAATGAATGTAAGTATTGTTTATGAGTTCAATTCATTTGAAAATCTGAATTATCAACGGAAGTAACGACGAATTGTTATAAACAAATGAATTTTCCTTAATAATTTCTTTCACTAATGAAAACTTGAATTGAAATAACACTGCATCATTTTGTGATTAACAATAAACAAAATGATACACCGTTGCTTTTATTCAATTGTTTATTATAGAAAAAATTTAATACGAAAATAAAATTGTTTACGAGTATTAAATGAAACAATCGAAACAATTTTTTTTTCGTATAACCTACAAAATTATTCATAAAAATAAATGATTTCTCAACTTCGATATTCACTGATATTCATAAGTAGTTGAATAATGAGTGCGTTTTTATGTAATGCATTTTTTTAATGATTTTTTTGATTTTCCATCGATTAGAAAACAAATCAACCGGAATATTTTGAAATAAAACTGATCAATGCTTTTTTTAATTTTTGCTTGTTCATGGCTGGAAAATGAGAATTCCAGGCTCCTGTTTCGGAATTATCAAAGGTTTTGTGAAGAAATTTTGAATAATGGAATTATTACTCGAACTATCGACAAAAGTTATAGTAAACAGTTTTTCCAAATAAAATTTTCAGCCAATATGCATAATTTCAACTACATAGGATAATCACTCAACGCAGCCTTCAGTACAGATTTGGCCATGATTTATTCCAGTAACATTTTCGTCAAGGTAGCACAATATTAAATGTGTTTTCCTTCAAAATCCAAACAGAGCTACTGAAATTCGGGAATATGTGATACAAATTTTATTTGTTTTTGACCTTGTATAAAGTAACTTCATATAATTTCTATTGTTGAATAGGAGGTTTGCATCTAAACGTACTACACATCAAATTGAGTATCGCAGTGTCAACCTCACTGAAATTTTTATGAGTTTACCTAAAACAGAAAATTTTTCAAAACAAATCCTTTTCCATAATATTTATCATTTCGAAACGGTCACTCGAAATTGTAACTTGAGACCCCGAAGTATCTGAAACTGGTTTGAAGCTGTATCAAGGAGAACAAATATCTGTATTGAACGCAATGGAAAGCACACAGAAATGTATTTTAGAATTTTGAGTTTTCATATTATTATCAATTCAATATGCAGTTACTAAAAATATTTCGCTATCAATTGAAAAAGTGTAATTGTAGATGCATTTAATTTTTTCATGTTTTTTAATGAAGATTTCACTCTTTCTAATTGAAGTTTTTCCTTTTTTCGATGTGTAGTACGTTTAGATACAAACTACTTATTCAACAATAATTATTCTGTGTTACTTCATTCAGGGTCAAAAATAAATGAACTTTGCATCACATGTGACCAAACTTCAGTAGCTCTATTTGGGTTTTGCAGAAAA